GCTGAGTTTTAGTTGACTAGTAATTTGCAAAATATGGTCACATTTCAGTTATTATACATTATATATGTATATAGATTACTGCTATTTTGAAATAAGTTCTTAAAGTTATTTTTCCTGAAACATAGAACAGTAAATATAAAAGTAAAACAAACAATTATGCCTTCTAGTTACGACCTTTATACTCGGTTGCTGATTGACGTAGGTTGATAAGCCTTTAAAAATTTTGCACGTGGAGGATATGAAACAAAATATTTTTTTTTATAGGTTTTATGTATACATTTGAATAACTATAAAATTGTAAATTACTACATCAATACCATAGAATTTCACTTTAATTTATCAAGCTTAGTAGCTAAGCTTTATTTGGGTCTAAATAAATATGAAATTTCAAGCAGACTACTGATACAACCTATCTAATTGAAATTTTGGTTCAAAAGAAAGAAATGGTGGAAGGAATGGTAGAAAGACTGAGAAAACCACTAGGGGATGTTCTGAGCTTCCGATTGGTTTTTCATGTCATATATAGAAATAAGTGTATATAAGGAAGTGTTTCCAAAAATGGAAAGAGGTGGGTGGGATGCCACTGTGTTTGATTTATTATGTGAGCAATATCTTAACAAACATAAAAGTTAAGACCTTGTTTTATATTCTAGTTTGTCAGTATCTGTAATTTGAGTTTCTGATTTGTATGAAACTATAGACTTAGTATTTTGACTTCACAAACATCAATTTGAACCAGTGGTGCATTAAACATACCACTTGACACACAAAAATCAATGTTGATCAGTGTTTTTTCAATATTTACTTTTAAACTAAGAAATTGAGTAATGTATAGTTCTAAAATTTGAATTATAATCTACAGTTTGATAACAAACTTATTCACATAAATTTATGAAATAGTAGTTCAATAAAATTTTGAATGCGAGTCAACAAACAATATGACGGCCTTTCACCTGTTATCCATATCAAAAGGGTTAAAATATAAGCTGTATAACAGTTCTGTATGTAGTAGAACTTTATATAACTAGTTTTGTTACATTACTTTTTGATGATTACAGTCTTTGCCATATTTCTTACTCTTATCTTTCCTTTCTGAGCATTATTATATTTATTGAACTTGCTGCTTTTGATAAGCCTAGCATGTTTCATTTTTGGCTTTTACAGAATATTTAACTTAATATATATCAGGTGCTATAATTTTTTATTTTAAGTTATTGTTTATTATTATAATTTTATTGTAAAGATTGTTTTACATTGTTAATGTTAGCTTATTACATGTTTTTAGGACTAATCTAAATCTCCTAAGCTGGCCAGACCTTGTGAGATATTTTTGGAATTACAGCATAAAGTATTATTAACAGTGAGGGTACCCAACTGATGAAACAATGCATTGTAATTTTTATAAGTAGAAACATAAGAAATGTATACTTAATTAGCTACACTGATTATGAGATTGATTATTGGTTTTGCTCTAAGAAATAGTTTGCTCTGATTGGAAGTTCTAGTGTTACATATAGTAGTTTATACCAAATCTTTAATTATTTTATCTAAGTAGCCATGTTGAAAATAAATAGTATAGTCAGCCCCACTTTTTCAGGTTCTCTGTCAAGCTTTCTGATTATATCAATCACATATGTCATCTTCACGAAACTTGGTATGCTTTTAATAAACATTAAAAGTCTTTTTACATACGATAAATCAAATTTTTTAATGTTTTAATTATTTCTTCTAAAGATTTTTCTGTGAATGCATGGAATTAGAGAGTGATTCAAACTGACTAGTCTTAATTCTTAGCAACAAAAGTAGGTGTTTTTAACTATTATGAGATATTGTACAGTGGTTTTTTAACTTTTATATATAGTGTTTTTAGACTATTATGGTGCCTTTAATGTATGGATTATGGTATTTTTTAAAAACTGTTATGGGATTTTATAGAAAAGGTTTTTTAATTGCTGAGGAGTCTTAGAGTGGTTTTAAATATGTGACCTAATATTTTTGTTAGTCTGAAAGTCAAATGAAATGTCTAGATAACAAAACTGAAAAAATGTTGGTTTCTTAATTTAATGTCTGTGTTGATTAAAAAGGGTTTTTTCTTTTAACTTTTGTGATATAGCAGCAAAATAGTTGAGTTGTAGACAAAAGCAAAGAAAAAATTA